GGTCGGACACGACTTAACGACTAAACAACAACAACCCATGACAGAGACGACAAAGAAAGATCTTTCCTCACCCTAAGAGCAATCCTAACTGATCCAAACCGAAAGGGGATCTTGCTATCCCTGGATCCTGTGTAGCCCCCTTACTTTCTGGGCCCTCCCTGGGACTTGATCCTGCTTTGTTTGCACATGCACCGAAGAGGTACCACCAAGGGGATAAATTGGTCAGAGGATGTTCTGCATTCTACCCCTTTTGGAACTGCCCCCATTCCGATCCTCAGCAGCCCACAGCCGTTTTCATCGCAGCTCAAAGCTCCTTGTAGAAAAGGGCTTCTGCCCAGTCCTTTACCAGCTAGCTTTTCCATCTGAACCAAAGTGTCCTCTGTTGGCGCCCCCTCCAACAGCTTCTCCGTGAGTCTGCTACCACAGGCCTTCAGGAGCCTAAGGACATTGAAGAGGGGTGTAAGCAAATGTGATATGAGAGCGCCTACAAAGATACCACAGCCTAGGCTTTAGTCTCACCAAAGCACACATTCCTACTTCTAGGTAAACAATAAACATCAACATCTTGGGAATCATCAACTGCTCCAAAATGCAAAGGTTTGCGAATGAACTTTGACAGAAGTTTAGCAGTATCTATTTTCCCTTCTGGACAAAAAGGAAACACAGTAATAAATTCTGGCATTCAAAAAAGTTGATGGGAACTAGCAGTCTTCCTGTGCAAATGGTGATAAATCACATTCTGGACATTCTCTGGCCTTCATTTACATGGATGCATGTAAAAGCAGAAGGCTAAGATTGATTAAACTTTGTACACTGATCACTGGTGGACAGGTAGTTAATTACTCAGCTAAAACCTTTTAGTAACTGATAGTCTTGCCGTATCCCGTTAGAGCACTAAAATCGCCAGACCCTTCAGTGCTCCCTCCCTGAGATCTGAGCACACCAATTTCCAAGTCAGAGGTCTACAAAATGCATCACCAAGCAAAGGAAGTGTGAAGACAGGCCCACAGGTTCTCGTCATTGGTGAGAGAAGTGAGCGAGCGAGCCGCGTTGCCATTCCGCTGATGCAGAAAAGGCGTGAACGCCGTGTTCATGCGCTGGGCACGCTGCGGACATCCGTACTGCTCAGCTTCAAAGACCTGCGTAACAAGCAACGATGAAAAAAATAAGTGGAAAAGAAAAAGGTGTCCGAAAACCAGCTGGGCCAAAAGCCTGGGGAACATTTATCATTAGGGAACAAGCTGGCAAGACCTTCCAAATTATTAAATGTATTCCAGCAGAGAAGTTCAAGCACCCGCTTCATCAGACCTGGGCATTATTATCTCAAACTGGCAAGTGGTGCAGGCATGTGGACATGTACAACAGCAAGTATGGAAGCAAGGAAAGAGATGATAAGCTACCAAAAAAAATGTTCTATCTATCATCAACTCCTGTGCAAAGTCTTAAACATTTGTAAAATTAGTAACATGTCTTCCTCCAATCAGCCCTCACCTCAAAGGTCCTGAAATTGCAGCTCCCAAAACTGCCAATCTTAAATGCTTAAAAACTCCTGCATCAAACCCCAAATCAGGATTCCCTGGTGGGAACTCAGTTGCTGGCATTAAACAAATCTCCCAAACTCCTACCAAGAATCTGAGTTTTTCCAGCTGCCAAAAAGGACAACCTGGATCACCTTTATAGAGCTTCTGCAAATGGGCCCAATAACAAGAGGAGGAGAAGGAGGAGGAGGAGGGAGGGAG